TTTATTTATTTATTTGACAGAGAGAGCGAACACAAGCAGGAAGAGAGGCAGGCAGAGAGAGAAGGGGAAGCAGGCTCCCTGCTGAGCAGAGAGCCCGATGTGGGCTCCATCCCAGGACCCTCGGATCATGACCAGAGCCGAAGGCAGAGGCTTTAACCCACTGAGCCACCCAGGCACCGCCCCCCTTTTCTAAGATTTTACTTATTTTTTTTTGAGAGAGAGAGGGCATGAAAGGGGGGAGGGTCAGAGGGAGAAGCAGACTCCCTGCTGAGCAGGGAGCCTAACGTGGGTCTTGATCCCAGGACTCTAGGATCATGACCTGAGCAGAAGACACTCGCTTAACGAACTGAGCCACCCAGGCACCCGTTTTGTTTTGTTTTTTTTTTAATTCATTTGTGATTCTTGGTGCTGTTATCACATTCCTGGGATCATGGATAAGCAAATCACCTTGCCACTTCCTGTCTACTGTTGGGCGGCACATACTTTGTAACTGGTGTATTTTGCTATGTCACTGTTTTCTCCTCTTCCCGTGCTTCTGCTTGTTTGTTTTGAGGGGGTGGTTGTGCTGACAGTCTTGGAGCCCCTCTGCTCTCCTCTGTCCATCCGTCGGCAGGGCTCTGTTGATTATCCTTGCACACATTCCATTACCCATTCATATCTCTCACTAAAAGAAGCTTGCTCAAAGAATGCTGCTGGGCAAATGGCATGATGGTCTTAGTAATTTGAAAACTTCCTGCAGTATGTGTTTTCCATTATTGACAATGGCGTTCCAGAAAAATATATGGCTCTGGCAAGAGTTTGGTCAATTTTTTCCTCTTCTTCAGGTGTCCCCTGTGTACTAATGAAGCCATTGAGAGTGCTTTGTATGCGGCGGTGGCTTGTACCTCTGTTGGTTCAGGGGTCCTGACGGGCACCTCTTTGTGGTGATACTGATGTCACAGGAGACAGCGGCACAGCTGTGTGCGGAACACCAGGAAGCCAGTATGCTTCTTCCTCATCATGGGCCTCTTATCTCACATTTTAAAAATGTCTGAATAGCACTTCCCAGATTCAGTTTTTTTTTTTAAATGATAGCAAACCCTGATTTCAAGGCACACTTCTTTTTTTTTTTAATTTTATTTATTTATTTGACAGACAGAGATCACAAGCAGGCAGAGAGACAGGCAGAGAGAGAGGCAGAGAGAGAGGAAGGAAAGCAGGCTCCCGGCCAAGCAGAGAGCCCAATGCGGGGCTCGATCCCAGGACCCTGGGATCATGACCTGAGCCGAAGGCAGAGGCTTTAACCCACTGAGCCACCTAGGCGCTCCCCAGATTCAGTTTTTTAACTAGAATTTGGAAATGTGTCTTTCAGTGAACAGTTCTCTAGGCGACTTCCAGCATACAGAAGTTTCTGTATGCTCCAAGTTAGCCTGACTGTTTTGCGAGAGGAAAAGCCGGTAGAAATAACCATCGTTTATAGAGTAAAATCCAGGTTAGCTGGAGACACCTTTCCGGGAGTCCGACCTTTCTTCCTCTCTCCTGAAGCCAGGTAGGGAATCGTACGACAAAACCTTAGATTACAAGGAATTCATCTGTGTCATGTTGTAGGAACCAGGCAGCTGAAAATCGGAATTTGGGTACATTTAAATTCCTGTTTTTAAAGAAAGAAGCATCCCGAGTGCCTGGGTGGCTCAGTTGGTTAAGTGACTGCCTTCAGCTCAGGTCGTGACTCTGGAGTCCCAGGATCTCTGGAGTCCCAGGATCGAGTCCTGTATCCATCGGGCTCCTTGCTCGGCAGGGAGTCTGCTTCTCCTCCTGACCTCTTTCCTTTCATGCTCTCTCTCTCTCTCTCTCTCTCTCATTCTTTCTCTCTCTCAAATAAATAAATAAAATCTTTTAAAAAAAAAAAAAGAAGAAGAAGAAGAAGAAGAAGAAGCATCCTTCTTTTCCTGGCTGTTTTGTAGGCATTAAGATCAGGGACCAGGAGGAATTGACTTTCTATATCTTTCTCATTGCAAAACCTCTAACTCTTCCCCAACTCTCCTTTGTCCTGGGGGCTCTTGTCTAATAAATGCCATTATTCATCTCTCAGGGAACTGATAGATATTGCTGTCCTCATCCACTTCAGACCCACACCACTGAGAGACGGACAGGAGGAATGAAACTTTTAACAACAATAGAAGTCAGTGAAAGAAAACCCACAACAATGCAGATGCAGATTCTTTCCTCTGTCTCCCTAGGAGTCTGAAGTGATCTCTTGTCTGATGGTTCTGCTCTGTCGTCTGTTCTTGAATTCTAGGAAATGTAGGATCTTTGTTGTATTGGACAGGTATCAAGGAGAACCATTCTATCGCATGATAAAATGAGTCGCAATAAGTTACTGTCATCTCTCTCCATCCTATAAAGATTCATGATCCCTTGCTCAAACTGTTTTTAGAGAAAAAGCAGATCTCAGCATGTGCATTTTATCCCAGCCTTTACCTCTTCAAAGGAGACCAGCACACATGAAACAATTAGAAAACTGTACAACCCACCTGGAGTTGGCTAGAAGTCCAACAGAGCAATAGAGAATCAATCAGTAGGGTATTTACTGAACATCATTTATTAATTTCTCAACTATGCAAGACCGAACAGAAGACGGGGCCCTGCCCTCAGTTTGATTATGGTCTGTTTGAGGAAGTAAGCCACCATACAGAACAGGTCCAGTGCCTTACAAGAGATAATGACATGGTCAACCAAGCAGCACAGACATTCTAGAAGTTTAGAAGAAAGAAACTTCCCTGAGGGGTAGAATGGTAGGCATTTTAAGGCTGGAGGTGGAAAAAGAGGGAAACTATGAGGAAGAAGAAGAAAATCAAACAGCGAAAGCACAGAGATGTTCCACAGCACATACGCTTGTGAAAACAGTCCAGTTGAACCAGGCGGAGTGAGAATCAGCGCTAAGTCAGGTGGGAGAGTACCCAGGAGGCTTTGAAAGCCTGGCAGGGTGGAGGTTCCAACTGTGGCCTACAGAGAATCAGCGGTGGTTTGCACAAGGGCAGTGATATGTTGAGAGCAATGTTTCCTGGGTACTAGCCAGACAGCCACAAGTGGGATAGACTGGAGGGGCAGGAATGTGCGTGCAGGGAACACCAGCAAAAGCACCGTTATGGCAGACCAAGGGTGGGGGTGGGGGGCTCAGGAGCTGAGCTCTGGAGGCTCTAGAGGAAATGGAGATGGGACCAATGGAACAGACATTGCTCAGGGGAATCGGGAACACCTGGTGACTGACTTCATCCAGAGCGGAAGGACCCATGCTATATCAAGAAGGACTTCAGGGAGCCTGGATGGCTTGGTTAGTTAAGCGTCTGACTCTTGATTTCAGCTCAGGTCATGATCTCAGGGTTGTTCAGGATTGTGAGATCAAAGCTCTGTGTTGGGCTGGGCATGGAGTCTGCTAAAGATTCTCTCTCATGCTCCTTACCCTCCCTCCCCCCTCACCTCCCCCCGCTCCCCACCGCTTGTGAATGTGTGCGCTCTCTCTCTAAACAAAAGAGGATTCCAAAGATTTTTGGTTTGGTGGTCTTCAAGAAGGTCTTCAACACACCTGATTGGGGGGGGGGAAGATGAGTTGGCTTTTATTCCCCTTAGGTCTGAGGTGACAGTGGGACAGCTAATGAAAATGTTCAGCAGGCAGCTGGAAATACAGAAACCTGAGCTGTAGCTCTGTATACTTAGGGGATGATGAATCACTCAGATGTGTTAAGGGAGGAATGAAGAAACATCTCAGAAGAGTAGGAGATGAGGTGAGATTCAAGGAGAGAGTGGCAAGGAGAGCCGGGGTGTTTTGGAATAGCCATAGGGAGGATGAAGACCAGGGCAACTGAAGAAAAGAAAATGTACTGGGCCAGATATGCAGAGTTCTGTGACTTCTCGCAGCCACCCTTCGCCTTCTCAGGGCCAGACAGAGGCGCTACAGTGGGGGAGTGGCATAGGCTGAAGAGGAGGATGAGGGGGATCTGGAGAAGATAAATGGGACCCAGGCACCACGTTTTCTCTAGCGCATGGAAGTGTGGGAAAGGGAAGAGGGCAAATTATTGTCATTAAAGATTGGGACATATATTGTAAGGCAGGTGGTGGTCCCTTCATGGTGATGGAGGGGACAGGCAAGGAAAAGAGGCCACGCAGGTGTAGCTGTGTCCCAGAGAGGTCTTTGGACTCGGGTGGTTCCCTTATATTGGCTTGCCTTACCTTCCCTCCAGGACACTGCTAAGGGAAGTCCTGCCCTCCACCCTCCAGACTCTAGCCAGTAGAAGTTTCCAGAGACAAAAGTCCAGCAGCTGGTGGGGGGGGCACATTTTGCTCATTGGAACTTTATCCAATCCACTTGAACTGTTGGCTCAAAGCTCCCGATTTTCACTTCAGAGATGGTTTTCTATTGTTTAAATGCCATAAACACTAACAGCAAAATAGCTCCCTAGTGGCACAACCCCTCCCCCTCCCACCGCCCCCGCCTCAACCGCCTGCTCGCCACACCTGCCAGGCCCTGCACCTGCAGCTCTACTTAGAGAGGACAAGGAAGACCCATCAGCCCCAGCATGGGCTGGTGGGGGGGTTATCCTCCAAGCCTGAAGGGAAGACGGGGTGCTAGAGAGGCGAGCAAGATGATAGAGGTCCATTTGGTTACTGGAGAAACCACAGCTGACTGTCTTGCCAGAGAGGAAGAATAAAAGCAGGTCGTCTCCCTCCCTTCTCCATCTGGGTTTGGGCTACAAAGGGACACATGCAAAGCTAAAAACACAGGCATGTAAAACACGCAGAGAGACACAGAGCAGAGGTGCACAGCCCGTCACAGGACATTTGGGGAACAAGCTTAAACCCGTGCAAAGGCACACCTGGACCCGCTCATTCAGACATTCTCCCACGTATCTGCACACAGCTCTGTCCTCTCCAAGAGTTTCCTCCCCACGAAGTACCCTGGTGTGAGCAGAGGCAGGCCTCTCTCTTCCAGGCCTCACCCCTTCCCCTTTGTGTTTTTCCAGGTCGTGACATGGCGAGCACCACTCTGCCTGGTTACCCCCCTCACGTGCCCCCCACTGGCCAGGGAAGCTACCCCACCTCCACCCTGGCAGGAATGGTGCCTGGTAGGTGACAATACTGCAGCTGCCCAATTTAGGTGTGGGTAACTAAATTGTGGGTGAGCTGCCGTGGGCTCAGTAGCCTGGGGGTGGGGGGATCCAACATCCCTTCCCCCCAAAACCAGTGCTGTTCCGTCCCTTTGTCTCCCTAGAGGCTGCAGTTGGTCCCTCATGAGCAAGCCAGGGAGGGAGTTTGCAGAAGTGGCTCTTGTGTGCTCCCACTGTACATCACGGCCCCTCCACAGGGCCCACCCACCTGAGCCTGTGCCCCGGGAGCACTGAGCCTCAGCTCCTCTCTCAGCGCCCCAGCCCACCCCCAGCCAGCTGACACTGCTTGGAAGAGCCTGCCCTGGTTTCCATGGAAACTTGGAGCCAAGAACCATTTCCAGGGGCATTGTCAGTCACTCAGACAAAGCCACCCTGGTCCACACCAACCCGCAGGGAAAACCAGTGTGGAGAATTGACCCCACCCCAGGGAGAGGAAGGAGCTAGACCCTAAGGAAGTAGAACAGAGAGGACAGGCTATGGCAGGACCCAAAGATACTGGCTTCAGAGAGACAAGCTAGAGCACCACATCTCCTCAGAGGTACTGGGGCCCTCGTTCCTCCTGAGGAGCTGGGTCTGAACTGTGTGGATCAGAGAGGTGGAAGCCACACTTAGGGTCTGAGGAGCCCAGCTGGAGGTTGTGCTCTTCCCAGCCTCTCACCCCTGATTGAGAGCTGGGCTTGAAGCCACAGAGTTGAAGCTTCTATTAGCAGAAACACCAACAAACTCTTGTCTTAAAGAGGGTGAGACTCGCTGGACCTGCAGCCCACCCCTGCTGGTGGCCCTCCCCTCATGCACAACCCTTATGGTGGGGGAGGATGAAAGAGGGTGACTGGCCCTATTCCTGGATGTCCATTCAGGGACAGCCCTGGCTAAACAGAGCTTGGGGGGATGGGCAGTGGCAAAGAGGGTGCTGCACCACAGGGGCTGAAGGGAGTTAGAGGGCCTGGCTAAGGAGAGCTGGGAGGTGTGGGGGAGGGGATCCCTGCCCAGATCTGGAGTGGGGGCAGAAGTGTTGGGGACAAGGAGTGTCTTCTGGGAAGGTCCAAGCAGTGAGCAGGTGGAGGCTGGAGAAGGTCTTAGGTAGGGGTGAGGGAGGGGGTGTCTGCAAGGAGGTGGGGATGAGGGGAGCAGCAGAGAGCTCATGGTGGCAAGGGGGGAGTCGTTAAACAGAATCTAGTGCTGATGAGGAAATTACACTTGTTTCATTAGCGATGGGGAAGGAGATAGCTCAGTTCCTCTTGGTCACAGTTGAGCTCAGAAGCTCATTATCCTGCTGCACGCATGCTTTCCCTCCTCGTCAATAAACAGGCTTTCCAGTGGCTGCATCCCCCACCCCCACCCCAGCTCCCTCTCGGAGAGGGGCCCCTTCTCCTCTACTTAACCCGCGGTTAGGGATCACTGTAAACAGTCTGGGGTCATCACACAGGAGAAAGGGCGAGGGGGAAACCCGGAGGCCTGGCCTTTCTCCCGCGGAGGGAGGGAAGCTGCTTCCGACGGCTCCCAGCCCACGGGGCCCTCGGCTAACCGCCCGTGGACCAGCGGAGAGTCCACCTGCTTCCCACCGCCTCCTCCTGCTGCGTGGCCAGCGTATCCAATCCCTCGAGGGAAAGGCGGAAGGGGGGTGTTTCCCAGCAGAGCCCCCACCCCTTGCATTGGCACCTTGCTGAGATGCCAGTCTGAGGACTTTCTGGGACAAAGTGTCCCAAGGGCCTTCCTTCACCACCTTCCCCGGCTTCCATCCCGTGGGGCTATGGTTCCTAGAACCAGAGTGTCCACGCCCCCCAAAGCAGCGGGGTAGGCGCACAGGGACCAGAACAAACCCTTCCTGGATGGCCCAGAGTGCCTCCTTGGGGGAGCCCCAAGCCCCCGGGCCTGTGTCGGTGCTTCTGCACCCGCCCCACGACGGGCTCTCCCCACGCGGACCCGGTGGACTGCTCTGCCTCTGTCTGCCCTCACAACTTCTGCGGGGTCGCCCTGAGCGCCGCACCTGCACCTCGGACCCGGGGGGAGGCCGCTGACCGGGCACGTCGGGTCCGCCCCGGCGTTGGGCTTGTCTGATCTCCACTCCCCCACCCTCCCGCAGGGAGCGAGTTCTCCGGCAACCCGTACAGCCACCCCCAGTACACGGCCTACAACGAGGCTTGGAGATTCAGCAACCCCGCCTTACTAAGTGAGTACGCCACCTGGCTGGCCGGCGGCTCAGCGCGTCCGCCCGTGGGCCAGCTCAGCCGGGCTGCCTCCCGACGCCGGTCTGACTCCCCGCGACCAGACCTTCGGGTGCCGGGCGGACGCGGGCTCGTTAGTGCCGCTCTGAGGTCCCGGGATGCCTTGAGGACGCCCGCGCCTCCCGCCCCTTTCCTCCTTTTCTCTCCCTCCCCCGGGGCTAGAAAGCTCTCCGCCGCCTCCACCCACCCTGGCTCCCTCTGGAAGGCCCCCAGTCGGGCGGCAGCGGTCACCGATCGATCGGGTCCCTCTCCCACCGGTGAATGAAGCTCTCCCGGGGGCGACCGGCCCCGTGACCCAGCCAAAGTGTCCCTGCCCCGAGTCCGCCAGACCCCAGCCCCGGGAGGTCTTTGCTTTTCTTTCCTTTTTTGTTCTCCTGTTTGTCCTCTCACCCAGCCCATTCTTCTCCTGTGTTAACTTCCAGGTTCCCCTTATTATTATAGTGCCGCCCCCCGGGGCTCCGCCCCTGCCGCTGCTGCCGCTGCCTATGACCGCCACTAGTTACCGCGGGGACCACATCAAGCTTCAGGCCGACAGCTTCGGCCTCCACATCGTCCCCGTCTGACCGCCCACCCCGGAGGGAGGGAGCACCGACGCCACGCGATGCCTCCCGGCCACCGCCCCAGCCCCACCCCCATCCCAGGAACCCTGCAGCCCTTCACACCACCCAGTCGAAGGCCGGACAGGACGGGTGGAGCCGCGGGCGGGACCCTCAGGCCCGGGCCCACCGCCCCCAACCCCGCCCGCCGCCCCTCCCCGCCTGCCTGGACTGCGCGGCGTCGAGAGGAGGGCGCGCCCCAGCTCGCTCCGGCTAGGCCTCAGCAGGCCCCGGAGCGGACCAGCCACACCGCCCGACCCTGGCCGGGCCCGCCGCTGCGCGCCGGGGACACGTTTCTGTGACACACAATCAGCGCGGACTGCAGCGCGGCCCAGCCCGGGCGCAGCCCGCCTCAGACGCTCCGGCACCGGGAGGCTTTGCTGGAGGGACTGGGCGAAGGAAATTAAGAACGAAACGATTTTCTGCAGAAGGAGGAAGAGCCCCCTGCCGAACCCTCGGGGAAGAGCCCTTACCCTAGCGCTAGCCGGACTGCCCCCACCTTCCGAGTGTGCCCTGCCCCAGGAGGTGGCATGGAATGGGGGCGTGGGGTCATCAGGTCTTTCCGAAGTTGGGACCCAAGGCACGCAGGCCCCAGCAGCGCGCACCCACCGAGCCCTAGTAGGGAAGCCCTTGGCTCTTCCCTACTCCACCTGAACTGCCTGGTTCCCTAGGGTCCAGACACTCCTACTAGTGACCGGACTCTCAGCCCCACCTTGCCCCTACCTCAGCGTCTTTTCCATCAGCTGACCTCCCATTCTCCCCTCCTGCGGGTCCTTTTCCCATCCCACGACCCTCCGCATCTCTCCTCCTTAACTCCTCGCCCTTCGGAGGCTCTCCAGTCGGCAGGACCAGTTTCCGTAGGCCTCGGGCACTGGTCTTGCCCAGCGGCTACTGGATGTCCCCTCCCCCGACACGGACTCGCGATCTGCCCCTAGTAGGAGCCGGTTCTGAGCTGGTGTCTGGGGCGGGGTGGAAATGGGGGCTGCCCAGTCCAACACCCCCCTCACGACCCCCAGCCGCCTCCTCCGGCAGGAACTGAACAGAACCGTGAAAAGTCTACATTTATTTAATATGATGGTCTTTGCAAAAAGGAAAAACAAAACAGAAACTCAACAGGATGCTGCTTTGTAGAAAGACGGTGTGTGTCGTGTGAAGGCGAACCCCTGTGTATATAAGCCCGCCCCACCGCCCCGCCCCGCCCGGTAGAGTCCCCGCTGCCCGCCAGCCCTGCCTGTAGATACGCCCCTCTGTCTGTGCTGTGAGAGTCGCCGCTCGCTGGGGGGGAGGGGGGGGACACAGCTACACGCCCACTAAAGCACAGCACGTCCTGGGGGAGGGGGGCATTTTTTATGTTACAAAAAAATTACGAAAGAAAAATCTCTATGCAAAACGACGAACATGGTCCTGTGGACTCCTCTCGCCTCTGTTTCATTGGCTATTTCTCTGTAATTCCGTGTTTTCGCTCTCCTCATCTCCGCATCTCTCCCCTCTCTCCATCTCTCTCTGCCCCGCTTCTCTCCCCCTCTGTCTCTGTCTCTCCGTCTCTGCCCCTCCCTCGGCCTCTCCCCGAGCCCAGCCCCGGCCGCCTGGCCCACGCAGGCCCGCTCTCAGGCGGCAGCTCCAGCCCCCGGGGCTCGCCGCTCCGGCCGGGCACCGTGGCGCCCTGGGCCGCCGGCGGCCGGGCCGCCCCGCCCCGTAGTTGCTCTCTCGGTAGCGGCGATGCGCCCTGCATGTCTCCTCACCCGTGGATCGTGACGACTCGAAATAACAGAAACAAAGTCAATAAAAGTGAAAATAAATAAATAAATAAATAAATAAATAAATATCCTTGAACAAATCCGAAAAGGCTTGGAGTCCTCGCCCAGATCTCTCTCCCCTTCGAGCCTTTTCATTTGAAAAGGAAAATGAGAAGAGACTAGTTTAAGGGAACTGCCGGCGTCCGGCAAGGCTCCCGTGGCCCGAGCGGGGCGGCGAGAGCACTGGGGTTCAAACCCCGAGGCCCGGTTCGTCCCAGTCCCTGTGGAGCTGGCCGGGCAGGGGCCCCAGCCCCAGGACCCAGCCGAACCCTCGAGAGATCCCCCTGACAGCTCTGGTCTCCTGAGCCACTTTCAGCGCGTCGGTTCGTTTTGATTCTTTTCTTTTTCTTTCTTTCCTTTTCCTTTTTTTTTTTTTTTTTGTGCACATGAGAAATAAAATAATAATAATAATTAATAATAATAATAATAATAAAAATTTTGTATGTCACTCCCCACGGCTCCAGGTTTGTCTCTCCCTGTCTCTGGGATAGGCCTGCCCTCACATTGGTCGATCCCAAACAACCCCTCAGGGACCCTCCCACCGCGACCGACTTTCCACCCTCTCGCCCAGACCCTGTGGGTGGCGGCTGAACGCAGGCGGAGGCCCAGACGCGTGTGCCCTTGGGTGGCCACCCGCACCGCCCACCCCACCCTTGGGGCAAGGAGTGGAGCTTCCCAAAACTTCAGAGTAACTTCGAGTTCCGCGTCTATACCAGGCCCTGCCTCTCCAACCGCCTCGGGCTCTCAGGACGCGACGTCGGGGCGCTCTCCCCACAGGTGGGGCTTGTCTGCCGCGCCGGCTCCTTCCTCCGATCGGCGCGCAGCCGCAATTTCACCCCCGCGTCCGCGCGGAGCCGGAGGAGACCGCAGATGCCCGTGGCGCCGCCAGTTTCCTCGCTGGGCGTTCACTTCCAGGGCCCGACCGTGCCCGACCTGCGGAGACCCAGGGACACCCTGCCGCTCGCAAGACCTCGCGCGCCCTTGGGTTCGTCCCTGAAAGGGGGAGAGGGCGCACAGTTGCTTACGCCTGTGTGGCGGTAGGTGGCTTCCATTTCTGTTCGCGTGGGTCAGTCTGTCCCTTGGGGCGGGGGGCGGGGAGGTCCGGTGGCGGGGTGGGTAGGAAAACGGTTTTGTTTTTTCAGACACTCTTACTGTTCTTGTCGCTCAGTGTCCAGGGAACGATCTGTGTGTCTGTCCCTGTGTCTGTTCCTGCGTTGGGGAGGGAAGGAGTGATTGTCCAAGACTGTCCGGGCTGCATCTGAGATACTTGGAAGGGGTCCCCCTCTCTATCTCTTCAGCAACCTCCCCAGCCAGTGTCCACCTGGTCTCTGTTCTTAGAGACTTTCTTTCTCTGCCCTTGGGAAACCTGCCACTTAGCCCCCATGTCCCCCCTTTCCCACTTGAAAGGCTGTTGAAATTCTGGGCTGCCAAGGATGGCGAACAAGGCCTGGAGGCTGACTAAGGAGTGACCTTCTCCCTTGGCCAGTGTCTCCCAGACACCTCCTTCCCACCAGGAACCCAAAGGCCTTTCTTTCCCCAAGCCCATTTGCTCAGCTTCACCCACATTATGGGACTTCAGGAGGATATGAAGGGTCCCCCCAACAAATCAGCAACCCCCTAATCAAGTCGATTCCCTCTCTTCTCCCTCTAGGAGAAGGTCTCCTGCCTAGTCCCCATCTCATCAAATGATGGTCCCATTGTCTACCCTGCCCTGTGCCGCTCCGTTTGATCACGAGTCTCCTAAAAGAGTGGTCTTCAAACTTCTTTGATCATCCACATTATCAGTAGAAAGAATTCTGAATGTGCACTCCCAGTATAGGTATATTTACTTATTTGCCAATTCCATAGATACACTCCTGGGCTAACATTATGAATTTTAGGACATAAAATAGAAAAGGGACACGATTGGAATACATAGAAATAGAAGTTGTAATGGTCTCATCTCATGCCTAAATGGATTATTTTGCACTCCCTGGAAAATGTACACCCCACTTCAGAGATCCTGCTTAGAATCCATCAAAACCCAACATGGCCGAACTCCTGTCTATTGCCTGATACCCAGTAGGTCCCCACTGCCTGGCTTTGCCTCCAGGTCCCCCAGACTGGGAACCCTGCCCTTCCCAACCCATTAAATTGGAAGCCATGCCCTTCCCTGGGCCCCACCAAAACCCCCTACCTTCTGTTCTATTTCTGGTCACTTTCAGACCAGCTTGGACAGCAAGGATTCCACTGTCTACAGTGACCACCTTCGCCCAGAAGCTTTCATGTTGTGCTGTGTCCCTCCTCAGTCACTGATTTCTGCTTGGGAATCTGAGCGCCCCCAAACTGTTCCGTACTCTTTGACCAGTTTCCTGTTCTAATTGCAGCCCCATTTACCTACCCCAAACACAAATAGGGCCCACTTCAGCATTCCCCAGAACTCACCTAATTCTGGCTCTGCAGGCCCTGTCCCCATCCCACCCCACAGAGATCCCAGCTGAGGTACGCCAAGTATGACAATTAGAAACAGATGAAGAAAGGTGTCCTGGGTTGAAGGAACAGCAGGAACCAAGACATGGAGGCATGGAAATATACCAGATAAAATGTGGCTGGAGTATCAGGTGCCTGGGGAGAGTCAGGGGATGGGGGTAGAGAGAGATGGCAGGAGGTGAAGCGTCAAAGTAGTTGAGAGCCAGGACACTGTACTGGAAATGTCAAAATCATATCCTTCAATTACACGGCTCCTTTAGGGTAGCTGCCCCACTCCCAGCCCCTCCTGCCTTGTAGACACCGTATCTCTCTACTCTGCTACGGTTAGACTCCAGCGCAAATCCAATCCAAGCCAGTCAGGACAGAACACAGGATGCAGGAAAGAATGAGGACATTCCCCAAGGGAGCAAAGCCCAGTGGAGGCTCCGAGGGGATTCCCCAGCTTTTGTCACCTCAGTAAAGGACAGCTGAAGTCTACCACTCACTCCAAATCTGCACTCATGCCTTTGTCTTTCCCATCTCACATCTGACCCCCAGCACGAGACATCTCCACCATTAAAAGAGGCACGGAACTGGACCACTTCTGACTACTCACTCTGTACTGTCCTAGACCAAGGCACTGTGATCCTTTAGCTGGGTTTGCAAAAGAACATTTTAATTGGTCTTTCTGCTTTCATCTTTGCCCTATCCACCCCAGCCCAT